AAGTTCAAAACTGGAACCACCCGTCTGGAATTTCTTTGTCGGGTAGTTGATTGGCTAGCCAGAAGTTCAGGAGTTGTAAACTGTTCCTTCTCTTTAAAAATCTCTTTAAAGCTTTTCTGAGAATATTATTGAAATGTAACTTCTGCTTCACTTTTTTTAAGGAAGGAAGGTCTACTTGCAGACAGCACAAATACAGATTGTTATGAACAGCTTTTTTTTTTATATACAGACCAGTGGCTTTTTCTTTATAGCCCAGAAGTAGGGTCTTAATGCTGTCAGAAGTTGTATGGAGTAACCCCCTTTGTTGGACAATTTAAGGTGGTAAGGCATGTCAGTGCCTCACCAGCAAGAATGCACTGCTTAATGAAGCATTTTCTCTATTGTTTACATAAGCACAAAACAATTCCCATGATGCATAACTTGCTGGCATCATTCTATAGGTCCTTTTCTTTCTCCATTTACTGCAGTTAGCATAAGGGTTTGTCTGAATCTAAGTGTCAGAAGTGGAATAAAAACAACAACAACGGCACAAGTTTTCACCACAATTTCATTTCTGTACCTTTTCCAACATCACGAGGAAACTTACTGCTAAGCAACCCTGAATGCCCATTGTTAATAACATTAGAAGCACCGAATAGTAAAAAAGTAAAGTTGCCATAGTCTTACCAGACCATTGGCTTCCTCTCTCCCTAAAGGGAGCTCACTGGTGGTAATTTAACTGGATAGTCTCCATACCTCAGGGTCAGGAGACTCCTTCATGGTCACCTCAGTTGATGAGGGAATTGAACCCACCAAATGAAAATCAACCATCAAGCAACAGAGCTAACACCACTGGTATAGAACCGTATGATTCAGAAGAAGGCCATTCAGCATATTGAATCTGCATTAAGTTCTAAAAATACCTCGGGGCATAACCCAAGGCAAAAAAGGACTTCTGCCATTTTTCACATTTGGCAATGAGAAAACCAAGACCACACAGTAATGCATTGATTTTCTGAAATCTTAGCATTAGCGCAATGAACTATGTTTCCTTTTTGATTTAAAGCAATGGACAATATGAAGGAGTACGAATTTTGCATTTAACTTCAACCATATAACTATAATTAGAATTAATTTTGGGTGAAGTTTAAAGATGCTTTTCCCATCATGCTGATGATAGATCACGGATTAAATTTTATGAAGAAAAGAAAATTTAGACTTTTATTCTTTGAAATGTAATATTTGTGGTGGGTCCTTAAACAAAATCTTTCAGCGAAAAAAGTAGGCAATAAGAAAAAATTGCACACTGACAAAAATTGGTTTAAATTCAAATGCAGAAGATGGCAACACTGACTGAATCTTATACTATAAAGAGTCCAAATAGCTGATAATGACAAAAACCTTCAAGTTAATACTGCAAGCCTTAATGGCAGTGTTTCGCAGAAGACATTAGATTTCGAACCATGCGGTAACAGTCATTTGATCAGCAGCCATTTCATATCACTCAAGGCAAAACAACAGCTGTTCAGTCAGGTTAATTAGTTGACCTTACAATCGAGACAATTTGAAAATAAATGCGGTTCATACTTAACAGCACAATATTAAAATCTATAATTTTCAAGGCCAGTATCAGTTTAGAATCTGTTACAAGTTTCATAATCGTTAGCAATCTGAGTTAATGGAAAAATGTCTATAGGAACCACCAATCCTAAAATACTGACAAACTGCTTAGCATCTTTGCCAATTTGCTATATCATAAAGTTAACTACTCTTGCACGTGAGATAACAAGGTGTAGAGCTGGATGAACACAGCAGGCCAAGCAGCATCATAGGAGCAGGAAAGCTGATGTCTTCTAGGCCCGAAACGTCAGCCTTCCTGCTCCTATGATGCTGCTTGGCCTGCTGTGCTCATCCAGCTCTACACCTTGTTATCTCAGATTCTCCAGCATCTGCAGTTCCTACTATCTCTGATACTCTTGCACGTGAACAGCTTTGTCTCAGATTAAAATCAAGTTGTGTATTTCAAAATACAATAAAATTAGGAATTCTAAAAGTGCGCCATAAACAATGTGAACATTTGAAAGAGAAGGGACAGTTTAACAGTTAGGGTATAGACGTTGTCAAAATCTGACAAGTGATCCATGGCTTCAGGCTCAAAGCTCAAACAGATTTGTAAGGCATTTACAACTGACAATGTTCAAAAACAAGCTTCCATGTGAGTCTCAATCAGATTAAAGCTACAATGCCCTTAATGTCAAATAAGATCGTCAATTTAATAACCCGAACGTTTGTATATGGCAGAAACAATCTCTACCACAGGGTAGAAAATTTTTTCTTTTATTTGCACAAGATGGTACTCTGGTGGCTTTTGAGTTTTAAATGCAGAAGTTTCAAGAAAATACTGGAACTTGGAAGCAACCCCACAAGCATCAGACCTAGAATATATACAACAATAACTCGTATTTATATAGAAAGGCTTTAATGCAATAAACCGACTAAAAGTTCTGCACAGCTGTATTATAAGACAAAGTACGAAACTGAGCCACATAAGGATCATAGAGATGTTTACGTGTATAATGTCTTGATCATACTGTGAACAACATTTCATTCAAGCTATGACATGGCTGCTGAGTTTTAGATGGTCTCAAATTTACAGCAAGTAGAACTCGGGAGGGTGACCGGGGTAGATCAGAACAGTCAACTCTAGAGGGAATGAAGACATGGACGAGGGTTTCAGCTGTTTGGCTGAAGTGAGACAGTTCCAGGTGATGTTAGAGTTGAAAATTGGCAGTCTTTGCAATGCAATGCAATTCGAAGCTCATCCTAGGGTGAAGTATGACATCAAGGTAGCAAACAACCCCAGCCCGCAACTCTGGAATTCCCAAGTTCCTATAATTCTGGTCTCTTGAACATCTCAGATTTTGAATCATTAATAGCTGTGTCTTTGTTTGCCTTGGTCCTAAGCTCTGGAATCTCACTGCTAGGCTATTCACATCATTTTATTTTGTTCAAGAATCACAGAATCCATATAGTGTGGAAACAGGCCCTCCGGCTTAAAAAGTCCACACCGACCCTCAGAGCATCCCACCCAGACCCGTCCCCCTATAACCCACCTAAATCTACACATCCCTCAACACTATGGGCAATTTTCCGTGGCCAATCCACCTAAGCCTGCACATCTTTGGGCTGTGGGAGGAAACCGGAGTACCCAGAAGAAACCCACACAGACACGGGGTGAATGTGCAAACTCCACACAGACAGTTGCCCGAGGGTGGAATTGAACCCAGGTCCCTGGCGCTGTCAGGCAGCAGTGCTAACCACTGAGCCAGCATGCCGCCCCAAAGGACTTTGGAGATAGGATTGCAGTTTGCAGCAACAGTAATCAAGAGGGTCCATTACCCAGATTAACTAACATGGAAGCCAGGAACTAAGTATTTTAGTAGCTTAGTAGAAAAGAGCAGGTGCAGATCTAAGAGGGGATGAAGGGAGATAAGAGAAAAAGACATCGGTCCAAGGTTAGGGCAAAAGGTACCCAAAAGAACGTTTGACAATAGCTGAGTGAATTATTGGATAGTCTTAAACTTACTGACAATGAAATCCATGAGAATCTTGCATTTATTCTTGGAGATGCAAGACACAAAGGCCAGAGAAAGGTTCAAAACAAAGATTTCCAATAGAGAAAAGACGGGAATATCTTTGAAGTTTTCACACAAGAGCAGAACCTAATTATACTTTAGGTAGTCTAGCAAGATCAGCCAGAGAAAGCCTATTCCAATTGCTTCCCGTATCCTTTCAAACCTGCGTCCCTTGTACTTAAGAGAATGAAGATGGAGGCTGTACTTGGAAAAATGAAGAAGACGAGAGAAAGTATTAATTTAGATGCAATCAAGGGTATCAAAAGTGGAGGTGAATACGTATTTGGCAGATTCGTAGCTAGAGAAATTCTATGGCAAACAGAGGAGCAAAATTTCAACAGAGATTTTGAAAGATTTGAAGGCAGCTTTGTTGAGAAGTTGCTGGTCTCTGGGCATTGTGTTGTTCAATAAAATAAGCCACAGTCTTGAAAGAAAACTATTTCTAAAGCTGTTTAAATGCTGGTTATGGCAAATGCAGTGTGCTGTTTTCACTTCAGTAGGTACAATGGTGATTGAACTAATAAACAGCGAAACGCATTGAAAAATTGCTAGAATTCAAATGACTGTACATCTTAAAACAATGGTGTGGTAAGGAAACCGCCATAATCAAAAATTATACTTTCGTTGCAGCTGTAATTAAGTTAAGTGCAAGCAGGACAGGAAGTCAAGAACCTGAAGAGATGGACTAGGTGGTGCAGGGGAGGTACGAAAGGAAAGGAGAGAAGAAAATTGGAATCAATGTGACTAAGATCTAGGGAATAGAACAAAAAGTCAGCAAACAGAAATATTAGAGACAATTACCATAAAACCCATTGAATAAATCAATCTTTAATATGCTCACAAGAAGGAAGCCTCTTACTTTACAGTCGAGGTAAGATCTCTAGATAAGAGTTCAAGCATTACAAAATTACGATACCTGTCAAGTTAAGGAATGTTACAAAAATTCAAGTTGCAGATCACCTCCTTGCATTTAAAATAAATGTGTCTAATGCAAGAAGGAACAGTAGATGTTTAGATTGAGTAAATTAACTTGGACGCATACAATTAGATATTTTATTCATTGAATTTTCTTACATTATACACTAGAGTCGTCATTTTCAAAAAATAAATTTTAAAAAGACGAGTATCAGACTGAATATCACAAAACAGAGATCATTCAATTGAAACTTTGCTTTTTAGGATTCATCAAGTAAATATTATTCATAGTGAATTGTTCATAACCAAGTACAATCATGTCCGTACGTACCTTCTACATGTAACAATTCTGTTAAATAGACAAAGAGTGATGCCTCGGAGAATCTAAAAATAAGCCTTTGCAGTATCTTTTGTATTTAGATTCATACACTAAGTAAAATAATGAAAACAAAGAATAAAATGAACACTTACTGTGAGTTTAATGGCCTTTTCTGGAGCAACACCCAACAACTGTGGTAAAAGACCTAAGTGTTTAAAAGGATATTAGCAAACTATTAGCAATAATAAAACATAAATATAAATTTAGTCACTGGAATGTTAACAACATTGAAATGTTACAATGGAATCAAAAGGTCTGTGAAGATACTTTATTGATTTTGTGAACAAAATTCAGTAAACTGATTTCAGTATTAACAGAGACTGATCTATGAAAGTAGTGCAGCTGCACTATTATAAACACTACTACTATATAGCTTGTGCCTTTACCAAGTCAAAAATTCCTGCACTCTCTTCCTTGCTTTTTGATAAGCTTTGTATGAACAATGCAATTTTGTTACTCAAAATCTGATCCAACGTTCCAGGGGAAGAAGGGAATAAGAAAACACATTGTTTCACCATGCTGCTGCCAGACACCAGTGCCAAAACTAGTTAAGAAGGTGAGTAAAGAGGATCCATACCAATGAGAAAGATTCCTGGTTTATTCCATCACCTGCAGAAAACTAGGTGAATCTTAGCTATAGTGTTAGTACAAGTTCTGCAATTACTTCAACACTCCAGTATAAAAAAGGGGAGTTTAGTTAGGAAATTAAAAGAGCATGCAACAAGGTCAACTTAATAATAGATTTGGCAAACCAACGTTGAAAAATTAGCTTGAAAGACAGGTTTATGGAATGCATTCAAGATAGATTAAAAAAAATGTTGAGGAATCAATTGCAGAACTGCTATTTGAGATCTTTAATAAAGGATGTTCTAGCGAAAAGCCATCAATTTGAAATTAAATCCAGTTCGAGAGTGACAGAGTCAAGGCTGCAGGATCTTAAATTTAAACAAAGCCCATTTACAGGGCTGAAAGGGGCCAATGTCCGAGGTTCATTGAAAAATTATGTGACATTAGATCAAAGACAAGCAATTAAAGAAATAATTTATAAGTTTCAATGAACATATATTCCCACGAGTAAAACTCACTGAAAATGTGATCTAACCATAGCTAACTGCAGAAGGATAGCATTAGATTTTAAAACGGCTAATCTTGAGGTTTTAAAAATCTATTCAAAAATAAATCAGCAAAAGTCCAAGAAATTGATAGAGGGAGAAAATATAAAACAAGTAAGAGCTTTAATAAGCACAAAAATGAAAAGATTAGCAAAACTAACAATGTGTACCTTGAAGATAATATGAGAAATTGCAACCATTAATGTCGAAACGGTGGAGACATTGAACTAACGTCTGGCCATGTATTCACAGTAGAAGATGCAAGGTAACAAACTGAAAGTTACAGAGAACTAAGGATTTTCTACCATATACTCCTGATTGGCAAGTTCACTGTCAATGTTTAATTAGTACTGACAGCACAACCAGTTTATTTTAGTGAGGACCCAAAACAGTATTCAATTAGGTTTTCCCTAGAGGACAATGCAATTGCTTTCTCCACCTGTTGATTGAAAATGTGCTACAAACAAAAAATGAATCTACGTTCATGCGTCATCTATGCTATGGCCAGTTACAGGTGGCAGTGAGCACAATCTACTGGCTGCCCACATTAAAGACCAAAAAGCTTAATGCAGTTCCATTCAAAGAACAGCATGATTCACATGCATGTAATTATTGTAGAAAAAAAGCAGTTAAATTTATGCTATTACTGTATTTATTGTCTCTAAATTGAATCTTTACAACCAAACTCTCTAAGATTGCAAAGACACTTTTATCCCAGAACGGACGGACAACATAGTTATCCCAATATAAGGATGGTTACAAACAAAAAACATGCAACTGTAAGCTCTAGCATTACGACCGAGGGACTGACAAGTCTTCCACAGGATGGGTGCCTATATTCATGAAGCTTCAACCCAAGCACTAAACATAGGTTCTTGGCATGTAACAGTTTTTAAAATAAGATATTTGTGTTACATTGTTAGGCTCCATCCAGAAACCAGAGAGCCTGCAAAGACACCAATTTGACATTTTTTTCTATAAAACAGGACCGCAATTTGAGTAAAATGTACTCAAATGGAGATATTTCCTTCCAAAAATACCTTAACTGCACAGAAACCAAAACAAAAGTCAGAAATATTGAAGAATAGAATAGCAATTAACGAGAGATAAATTCCAACAATGCTTTTTTTTTTAAATGAAGGCAAATGTGTGTAAATGTACCAAAAGGATTTCCTCAATTTAGCTGACCTTAGCAAGTTGCATGCTCTACCCATTAATCACGGAAATAGAAAATTAGGAAGAATGTTCACCCTCAGTGTTAAGCAAAATTATGTTTCTATTACATGTAGTTATTTTTATTGTGATAAACAAAACCCAGATTGCTCATTCAGATAGGGAAGGAGAGGCTGCCATCTGTTGAGGACATATTCCTGAAAATTCTAGAAGAAGTGTTCGTGTTCTGTGAGCCTAATGAGAACCTTTGACTGGCAGCACCAGTATGCATGACTGCTTTAATAAAAAAACGAAAGAACTGTGGATGCTGTAAATCAGGAACAAAAAGAGAAGTTGCTGGAAAAAGCTCAGTAGGTCCGGTAGCATCTGTGAATAAAAAAATCAGAGTTAAAAAATCAGAATGGTTCTGAGGAAGGGTCACTGGACCTGAAACATTAACTCTGATTTTTTCTTCACAGATGCTGCCGGGCCTGCTGAGCTTTTGCAGCAACTTCTGATTTTGTGCATGACTGCTTTGGCTGAGTACCAACAGTAGGATTCCTGTTTCCACTTGCATCTCACCTCTCCCCGCCCTGACCCTTGTAGTAGCTTGATTTTCCAAACACTATTTCACAGTTCAACAGTAAGGTGAATATACAGTACTTTGAATGCAGAAATATCTCAAGGTGCTCAGACGCATACATTAAAAGGCTAATAAATGGACAAGGAAGGCTTATGCAACACCTAAAAGTACAGAGCAAATCATTTGAACCAGGGAGCTATGCTATAACTGACCTTAACCTGGAAACACACATTAGGTTAATCAAAAAGTTCAACTTCACAGGACTTCATGAACTACTGTTTTTTTTTCCCTCTGCATACATCAAATCTATTTTTTTTCAAAGGTTAGAATGATGGCTTGAGTCCCTTTCATACGCTTTATGTCTGCCAGTGAGCCTGATCTGCTTCTGAAAAAATCGTTGAGTGACTTTTGCTGGTACTCAGTCAAAGCAGTCATGCATACTTGGTGCTGCCAGTCAAAGGTTTTCATTAAGCTCAGAGAACACGAACACTGTTCTTCTAGAATTTTCAGGAATACGTTCTCAACAGATGGCAGCCTCTCCTTCCGTGATCTGAATTAGCAACCTAGTTTTCATTTATTACAATTAAAAAAAAAAATCACAAACAGAACTTTGCTTATCATGGATGGTGGATATTGTTTCTCATTTTCTGTTTTCTTCATTCTTTTTTCCCTTAATAGATATATCATGCAACTTGGCAAGATATATCTTGGTCAATTAAATTAAGGAAATCCTGATGATGACAAGATTATTCATCTGTGGAGAGAAATCAGAGTTACTGTTGAGTCCGGTGACCCTTCTTCAGAAATAGACACTGGACTCAAAATGTTAACCATAATTCCACAAATACTGCCAGACACGCGGAGGTTCTCCAGTAATTTCTGTTTTTGTTCAGATTTCCAGTATGCAGTTATTGGTTCTATACAAGGTTACTAATACTTCCTTCATTTTAAAAAGGTATTAGTAGCATTTATCTTTAGTTAGAATTGCACATCAGCAGAGTTTTTATTTCCATCTGACAATCAGAATGAAAAGTGCCAAGAAACTGCTTTATCTGATTCTTCAAAGACAATCATTAACATTTGGAAGCATGTTGTCAAAAACATGGAGCAACAGGAAGTATTGCTTGAACTAGATACTGCATTTTTTCATCTGAGTTTCATTAATCTACTTGTTCAGTAGAAAACATAGTTTGAACCCACAAGATCCAAAAAGCCCAATTAGAAAAAAGTGGCGATGGAGGGGCTGAACAGGATGCCCTACAAATTTTATACAAGGGGAGGATTTTTGGGGTAGAGAGAGGGAGATAAAGATATTTTCCCAGTAATTCCATGTAATGAAAAATAAATATATTAATACTTGACAGCATCTATAATGGATCAAAAATATTCATTCTTAAATAGAATATTCCTTGTGCACCCCAACCTGTTCAAATTCAGAATATCTTATGCCACTGATTTTGTAATTTCATCCTCATCATTACGAAAGTGTCAACCTTAATGCATATGCTACTGAAAGTACATTATTGTCATTAGTAGAAGTGAAGAGCCATGATAAAATTATCCAGTTAAGAAAATATACATTCACAACACTCTCTTAACATTAACAACTGTATAGCTTGACTAAAAACCTACCTCTATAAAGGCCAAAAATGCCTTCATATCGTATAACTTTCTGGAAACAGTCAAAACTATTTTTGTACATCAGTTCTCCAATGAAGGATCCTGTAGACCGTTGGTTCTGCATCCTGGTTTTTACTAGATCGATAGGATAAACTGCAGTAGCTCCCACCGCTAGATTAAAAAAAAGGCCAAATTAAGTTAACCAGCTTTGAATCATTATCAATAATCACATTAGTTAATAAAGTTTAAATATTGTCTTGACCAGCTACAAAACGTATGGTGAGCAATAGGGCATACAACATACATTCCCAGAATCAATTTCTAGCATCATTGAAATCATTTACAAAGGTGCTGCTTTCACAGCATCAACTATTTTAAGCAATTCCGTAAGCTTATCAGGTCTTGTTAAAGTCTGATTATCTTGAATACTAATTTTTTTGTTCCTATAATTTAAAGTTATAGGTTGAAAGGAATTAACCATTTCAAGTTTACTAATTTTCGTGACATTAAAAATTTACTCATTCTACACAAATCACAAGATGACATTGCAGCACTGATGGCATCAAAGCAAACAGAAAGCCAGTTGCTTCCTATCAAGAGTGGCCAATTTCAAAAGCTACAGAATTGCTATCATCACCTTTCAAGCACAACAGTTTTAGCAAATATTTAACAAGGTAGAAAGGCAAACACAGAAAATCAACTTTAATGTAATCACTATTTTGAGTAATTTATCTGATTCTGTCATATACTTTTACCTTTAACACACTTGGATTAACATTATACGTTTTTATGATGTACTACTTTGATAATGTCTGGAGCAATGATAGCTTAACTGTCTAATGCTTATAACGAACAAAACCTATCAACATGACGCTATAAATACTGCAGACTATATTTACATATGAAAACGAAGCTTCAGAAAATTTGAAGAAAATTGTTAACAACACTGACTGAGTATTTTACTAGAATTAATTAAAGTATACACTGAACTGTTAAGGAAAACAAGATGATAAATGATGTTGCTAAACAAGTGGAATATTTCCATTGACCTTGAGGAACTTGCATTTTGTTTAAAAATCTTAAACTGAGCAATAAACCCTTTTGTTCAAATAATTAACTTTAAAACTACAATGAGTTACAAGTTTGAATCTTTAGACATTGACAATTACTCTAATAAAACAAAATTAAACCATAATCAGAGTGCATAGGTACAGTTTGGCCATGGGGCAGTAATAGGCTGCTCTTTTAAGACACTACTGACCAATGGTGGTAAAGGTACAACAAGCAGGTGTGTAAGAAATAGAGGCAAAGTGCCTGAAAAATACTCGCAAGATAGGGCTATAAGAGTTGAGCAGTAATGTTCTGAATTGACTGGAACTTGAGGAGTTGGGGAAGCAAGACCACTGAGAATGTATATAAAACATATTGCACAAAACAGGTTATTCGATCCAATGGACTTATGACAGTGCTTATATTCCACGAGGCTTTTCCCACACTACTATTTCATTCCACATTGCCTCCATATCCTTTGTTTTCTTAATTATCTTGTAAACAATAAGTCTTGCTTTAAAATTATTGAAGCTCATTAAATGTAGAAGGCTCTGCATATATTTAACGCTACTTCCCCAATTTGCCTTCTATTCCTTGAGAAATGAATTCCAATTCTTTGCTTGCACTTTTAAATATCTAATCAACATACATTGATACTTTTACTTCATCTTATTTCTGTTGTACCCCTTTTAGCTCATTGCCTTCCATATTTCTCCTAACAATATGAACACCACACTTTTGGCTGTATCAAATACATCATCCCATGCCTTCACCTACTGCATAAATTTATATCTTCCCAAATTTTCATGCCATCTTCCAACCCATCAGCTACATTACTAATATATCTATAAGTTTTATTATACCGCTGATATTCAACTTAAAACACATGATAAATAACTGCACGGATCTCAGCAGGACACGGTCTCTTACTTGCTGCCAGTGTGAGAAACTCCCCTTTACTGTTGCAGCTTGTTCAAAACAAAGAACAAGAAGTAGCAACATAAATTGAAGGCAGACAAAAAGGAAATTAAATATGAGCGTTTGTTTCCAGAGGGACAGAACTGAAAAGTAAATAACTTTTTGCTAAATCTGCATCGAGGCTTGGACCAAACCTGGAGAGGCAATGGCCTTGTAGTATTATCGCTGGACTGTTAATACAGACACCCAGATAATGTTCTGGGAACTTGTGTTCAAATCCTGCCACAGCAGATGGCGGAACTTGAATTCAATAAAATATCTGGAATTAAGAATCTATTGATCTCAGTCCTATAAAATAACAAAGAATTAGAAGCATTGGAGGGCCACACAGCAAAGTTGAGTAGAATCGCTTATAACAAAGCACCCCATCCCGATGAGCTCAATGCATTCTATGCTCACTTTGAACAAAAGGTCAGGAAATGATGTCACCTGCCCTGCCAGCCTCGGGTGCATCTGGATCCACAGTCACCACTGCAGAGCGACCCCACGGAAAATGACTGGCCCAATGGAGTCCCTGGTCGTGCACTCAGATCCTGCGTGGACCAGCTGGCAGGAGTATTTGCAGACATCTTGAGCCTCTCCTTCCGACCATGTGAGGTTCCCACCTGCTTCAAGAAAACCATCATCGTCCCAGTGCCAAAGAAAAATCAGGCAATGTGGCTTAATACCAGCACCCGGTGGCTCTGATATCCATCATTATGAAGTGCTTTGAGAGATCAGTCATGGCTCACATCAACTCCAGCCTCCCAGATTGCCTTGATGCACTACAATTTGCCTACTATCACAATAGGTCCACAGCAGATACCATCTCCCCGGCCCTATCATCATCCCTGGAACATCTAGATAACAAGGACACCTACATCAAACTCTGATTTATTGACTTTAGATCCGCCTTCAACACCATAATTCCAGCCAAACCCAGCTCCGAACTCCAAGACCTAGGACTCTGCTCCCCACTCTGCAACTGGATCCTTAACTTCCTGACATGCAGACCACAATCAGTAAGGATAGGTGACAACACCTCTTCCTCAATAATCCTCAATACTGGTTTCCCACAAGGCTGTGTACTCAGTCCCTTACTAGATTCCTTATACACTGATGACGGTGTGGCCAAATTATCTCTAAGTTCATTTAGAAATTTGATGTTGCCACTGTAGTGGTTTCAAACAAAGACAATAGACAGTACAGGAAAGAGAAAGAGAACATAGTGGAAAGGTGTAAAGCCAACAATCTCGCCCTCAATGTCAGCAAAATGACACACTGGTCATCAACTTCAGGAAGCAGAGTAGAGGACACAGCCCTGTCAGTATCAATAGTGCTGAGGTGGAGATGGTTGCATGCTTTAAGTTCCTAGGAGTAAATATCACCAACAATCTATCCTGGTCCATCCACATTGATACTACGGACAAGAAAGCACACCAACGCCTCTGAGATAACAAGGTGCAGAGCTGGATGAACACAGCAGGCCAAGCAGCATCATAGGAGCAGGAAGGCTGACGTTTCGGGCCTAGACCCTTCATCAGAAATGGGGGAGGGGAAGGGGAGGGGGTTCGAAAATAAAAAGGGGGGGGGGGGGAGGCGGATAGAAGATGGATAGAGGACAGGATAGGTGGAGAGGAAACAGATAGGTCAAAGAGGCGGGGATGGAGCCAGTAAAGGTGAGTGTAGGTGGGGAGTTAGGGAGGGGATAGGTCAGTCCAGGGAGGACGGACAGGTCAAGGGGGCGGGATGAGATTAGTAGGTAGGAGATGGGGGTGCGGCTTGAGGTGGGAGGAGGGGATAGGTGGGAGGAAGAACAGGTTAGGGAGGCAGGGACGAGCTGGACTGGTTTTGGGATGCGGTAGTGGGAGGGGAGATTTTGAAGCTTGTGAAATCCACATTGATACCATTGGGCTGCAGGGTTCCCAAGTGGAATATGAGTTGCTGTTCCTGCAACCTTCCGGTTGCATCATTGTGGCACTGCAGGAGGCCCAGGATGGACATGTCGTCTGAGGAATGGGAGGGGGGCGTTGAAATGGTTCGCGACTGGGAGGTGCAGTTGTTTATTGTGAACCGAGTGTAGGTGTTCTGCAAAGCGGTCCCCGAGCCTCCGCTTGGTTTCCCCGATGTAGAGGAGGCCACAACGGGTACAGCGGATGCAGTATACCACATTAACAGATGTGCAGGTGAACATCTGCTTGATGTGGAAAGTCCTCTCCCTATTTATTTCAGAACCCCCTTCCCCTCCCCCATTTCTGATGAAGGGTCTAGGCCCGAAACGTCAGCCTTCCTGCTCCTATGATGCTGCTTGGCCTGCTGTGTTCATCCAGCTCTGCAATCCCCTCCTGCCACCTCAAGCCGCACCCCCATCTCCTACCTACTAACCTCATCCCGCCCCCTTGACCTGTCCGTCCTCCCTGGACTGACCTATCCCCTCCCTAACTCCCCACCTACACTCACCTTTACTGGCTCCATCCTCACCTCTTTGACCTGTCTGTTTCCTCTCCACCTATCTTGTCCTCTATCCACCTTCTATCCGCCTCCCCCTCTCTCCCTATTTATTTCAGAACCCCCTTCCCCCTCCCCCATTTCTGAAGAAGGGTCTAGGCCTGAAACGTCAGCCTTCCTGCTCCTATGATGCTGCTTGGCCTGCTGTGTTCATCCAGCATCTGCAGTTCCTACTATCTCTCTCACACCAACGCCGTTATTTCCCCAGAAAGGAAATTTGGCATGGCCACAATGACTCCACAATTTTTAAAAGATGCACCACAGAAAGCATCCTATCCGGATGCATCACAGCTTGGTTTGGTAACCCAGTCCATTACGCAAACCAGACTTCCTTTCACTGACTCCATCTACACTTCCTGCTGCCTTGGGGAAGCGGCCAACAAAATCAAAGACCCCACCCACCTGGTTATACTCTCTTCCATCAGGTGGAAGATACAAAAGTTTGAAAACATATACCAGATGATTTAAGAACAGTTTCTTCCCCGCTGTTTTCAGACTTATGAACGGACCTCTCATATTAGAGTTAATCTTTGCCTGCAACTTCTCTGTCGCTGTAACACTATATTCTGCATTGTGTTCTATCATTCTGATGTACTTACGTAAGGTATTCTTTGTCTGGTTACCACACAATAGTTTTCGCTGTATCTGGGTGGGTG